AGCAAGGAACACTATGCATACTAGCCCTAAACTGGAAGCAACCCAAATATCTATCAATAAGCGAGTTGATATGGGAATTGTGATACATCTATACCTTGGAATACCACTAGAACTCAAAAGGAATAAAGGTACCGTATGGGCAGGAATGGCCACAGTGCAGTTTTACTGATCCAGCAGACCGGGTAAAGGAGGAGTCAGAGTCCTCAGTGGTTTTGCAGGTTTTTATTGGGGTTTATCAGGCATATGGCAGGCAGGGGTGCTGGGGGGCCGGGAGGCTGGCAGGACTCCCAGCCCCCAGCAAATCCTCACTCTATCCAGGCTCTCTGGTGTTCTCTCTGCTTCTCTGCTCTTCTGTTCGTTCTGCTGCTTCTCGGCTTCTTCATCGGCTTCTCCTGGCGTCCCTGTGACGCTGCCCTTAAAAAGCACAGTCTTAGCCCAGGTGAATCCCATCTACCTAGGCCCACACCCTATTCCAGGTGCCCGCCATCAGGCATGCATTCAGGACCGCAAGGATCCATCATCTATCCTGATGGCGGGAGGGCAGAAAAGCCTGACGTTTTTCCTTACCCTACAGGTACACACAACATTATGGATAGATCTCAAAAATATCACGTTCTTTGTGAATATACTAAAAATCACCAGCTTTAAAAGGGTGAATTTTATGTATGTGAATTTAATTTCAATAGAACAAAAACCAAAATATGCTGAGTGAGAGAATCCAGACATAAACTTTAAAAATCATGAAATGATTCCATGAAGTATGAAATTAAAAAATAAGCAAAGTTAATTGATGGTGACAGAATCCTCAGGAGGAGGTTACCTGGGAAAGCGCACAAGTGAAACTTATGTAAGGAGGTGTTTCATGCACTTTGCCTCATTGTACTTCACAGTTATTGTGAGTTTTCAAAATGAAGGTCTCTGGGAACTCCACACTGAGCAAGTCTATATGCTCATTTTCCCAACATGTGCTCACTTCATTTTTCATTTTTAGCAATAAAGTATTTTTAAATTAAGGTAGGTACATTGTCTTTTTAGACCTAATGCTATTGCACATTTCAGTATAGGGTATACTAATTTTATTTAGTTTATTTTTTATTTCTTGTTTTGGTAAACATAATTTTAGATGCACTGAAATAAAAAATTTGTGTGACTGTTTTTTTTTCAATATTTACTTTATTTCAATTTTCCCTTTACAATATATTTGCTTTGTTGCAGTGGTCTGGAACCGAACCCAAAGTATCTCTGAGGTGTACCTGTATACATATATAAAAATTCATGGAGTGCTAAATCAAAAGCTCTGTGTACTTCACTGTATGTAAGTTGTAATTCAATGAACACAATAATAATAATAATAAAAAAGATAGAACACATTACAATTAAAGTGAATGTTATCTGTGGTTACCTCCCTAACTCCATCCCTTCCACCAAATATAGAAACCATATCCTAAATAAAAACAATAATACTGAAACATTTTTACATTCCAACACTCTCCTTTACAAGAATTAATTCATTTAAGTTTCTCAGCAGCCCTATGAAGGTGCTACTATTATCATTCCCTGAGGCACAGAGCAATGAAGCAACTTGTCTAGAGTTTCACTCTAGTGTCAGGATTTGAACCCAGGAAGCCTGATGCTAGGATGCCAGGGTCACTACTCCCTAAAAATCTACAGACTTTGTACATAGTTTCACTTTCTATAGTAATTGACCTAAATCATATCAAACTGTAGCATTTTACTTGCTTTTTGTAGTCTTCTAGATACATTTAGTTATTCTGATGTCAGATTTCTCTGACCACTGATGGTGGAAATTTAGTTTGTAAAGAGCCTTTATCTTTTGAGAGACTCCATATTCCTTTCCTCCTCCTCTCCTCCTCAGTGGTTCTCACAGTCCTCAGGGTAAAGTCTGAATTCTGGGAAGGAGTGGATGGCTCTCCGCCGGAATCTAGGTTCATCAGCAGCTTCTATGTGCTAAATTCTGTTTTAGGAGCCAGATACCTAGCAGTGAACAAGACAGGAAACAATTCCTGCCCTCAGGGAGTTGACATGCTCCTGTTCCATACAGGCAAGAAAGATAATAGTAAAATAAAATTTATTTAAATTTGCAAGGAAGAAAAATCAAGCTATGTAACGGGGCCACGTGGGGCTCATTTTAGGTGGGAACGCAGTCAGGGAAGACTTCTCTAAGGTGATGTTTGAACAAAGCTGGAAACAGAGAGGAAAAATAACACCAAGATAAGGAGAAACATTGCAAGCAGGGTAATAATAGCCAGTGCAAAGGCCCAGCATCTTTGTGGAACAGCGAGGAAGCCATGTGACCAAAATGGCAGGAGGTTGACCAGGGGAGATGAGGGCAGAGGAATCAGAACAAAGCAGATTCTCTCCCTGCTACCTCCAGGTCTTTGCCTCTGCTGTCCCTTCCCCCAGATGCCCTTTTCCTCTTTGTCCACATTGTAATTTCCTAGTTTGTCCTTTGCAACCTAGCTTCAGTACCAGCCCTTCTGTCTCCTCCACAGGGAGGTGACTGCCACAGGCCTGATACTTTACACTGTGCCCACACATTCATTTCACAAAGAATGAATGAACATAGGCCAGACATGGGGCAATTTCAGAAATAAGTGACATTGAAAATAAATAATAGAGCATGGAGGTGCTCTGGGAAGGTCTCTCAGAGAAGATGATATTTAAAACAAGACCTAAATGATGAAAAGAGACCAGTTTTGGAGAGATGTGATGAAAAGGCATTCCAGTGCAAAGGCCCTGTGGTTGGAGTAAAGTTAGTATATATGAGGAAAAGGGAAAGCCAGTGTCACTGGATGGGAGTAAGGGGCGTGGAGGGGGATATGGCTGGATAGGTGGGCAGAAGTTTGACAGGTTAACCTGACAGGGGAGGGTTGAGATCCAGAAAACTCAGGACAGGGTTTTCAGGAGGCAAAAGTGGTAAGCAATTTAAGATTTCCAAGGCCTTAAAGGGAATCATAGAGGGACCAGAGCAGCTACAGAGAGGTGCCTGTGCAGCCATACTTTGTTGAGGTTGTACAATTAGTCCTGGTCTCCTCACTGCACAGGTCCAAGTGCAACTCTGCTGCCAGTGCCACCAAAGTCCCCAGTGGTCATCAATAAATATTTACTTCGTAAAAGAATGCCAGAAGGTTGGAGTGAAAATTTGGCCAGGATCCCCAGTTCCATCCGGGGAGGCATCCTGGAGCCTGCCAGGCAACAGTGGCCTCAGCTCTGGATAAGGCAGCCCAGTCCCCAGCCTGGCTGGGAGCGTTGCTTCTCCACATTCTCTTCATCTGTAAGTGTGGGACTGCAGAATTAGAGGAAGTCACCAAGTCCCTTGGGGCAGGGGCTGTAAACATTCTGGCTGCATAAATGGGGGTGGGGGTGAAGAGCTTCTTTCTGAGCCTCATCTGTAAATGGAGGGCAAAAGGACTAGCTTAAAAGTTTCTTTAATTGAATTCCTCAATATTCAAGGAGACTTGTGTAGCTGGGAGTGAGCAAAGAGTTTGGGAGGAGAGGTGAGAGGGAACGTGAAGGGGTCGGATACTGCAGGGCCTGTGCACTACAGGTATTTTTACTCTGGGGAAGGTGGAGCCATAGAAGGATCTAGGCAGAAGAGGGACACGACCTGACTCAGTGTTCACAGGCGCCCTTGGGCTGTCATGGGAAAAACAGACTACGAGGTTTGAGGGTGGAGCCAGGTGAATGGCTCTGGAGCCTGGACAGGTTGGAGCCGTGGGACCGGTGAGCCTAGGGAAATTCTGGATCGGTGTAATTTTCCTCTTCCTTCTGTTAACGTCCCTTGACCCCCAGAGTCGCCCCAAGGCGCCCTAATCGGACCATGCAAACCGCAAACAGCCGCGGGTAACCTACGCACCTGCAGCCCTCCAAAATCTGGTGGGTCCCGGGCGGACGCCAACGTGCGGGCACTGCCGCCAGGGGGCGCTCCCGGCCCGGCACCCCAGGGACCTTGTTTTGGTTCAGTCACCGGGTTTCTAAGGGAACGCGGGGTACGCCACAAGCCAAACTGCGTGCTCCTGAGACTCTGGAGACCCTGGAGAGGCTCCACCCTCCAGCTCCGCCTGGGCACGCGTCGGCATTTATGGAGCGCCACCTGCATGTAGCACCCCTGCAAGGAAGAGGCTGGCTCCCATCTTACACAGGGAGAAACTAAGGCTCAACAGCCACGCGATCCACTGGGTGCTCAGCGAGCTAGCGACAGAGTTTTAGGATCGAAATCCCTTTCCATAAAGACATTAAAAATGACAGCGACTAACATTTAAAGATCGCTATTGTGCTCTCAGTACTAGGTATGCACTATCTCATTTAATTTTGTCAACACCTAATGGGTAACCGGCGGTTATATTCTTCTAGTTTTAACATGAGGAGCTCTTAGGGTTTTGGGGTTCCCCCAAGGCGTGAGACACTGGGCTTTGAACCAGGATCTAAGCAATGCTAGTCTCCCGGCGACGGGGAGCTCCCTTGCCCTTGAATGGAAATGGGGGCTCTAAGGCGGAATAGGTCCGGGAGGACGAGCGCGCAAAGGCAGAGGACAATGAATTGTTTTCGGGTTTTGAAGCGTCCCGGGAGGCCCAAAGGCCTCAGCCGCTCCCTGCTTGAACGTGGCTCATTCTTTTCCTCGGGTTCCCGCGCGCTCAAATGGGGGACCCCTGCCCGGAGCGCGAGGCCCGGACCTGGCCCGGGCGCCGCAGCCGCCGCGGTGTTCCGGGCGGAGGAGGGGGGCCGCCAGGCGGGTCCCCGCAGGCCCGGGGCCTCTGGGAGCCGCGCCCCCTCGGCCCCGCCCCCTCCCCGGGCGCCGACCTCGGCGGTCACGTGACCAGGCCCGGCGGCCGCTGGGGCCGGAGGGCGCGGCGCGCGGACGCGGCGGCCTGGCCAGGCGGGGCCGGAGCGGAGCAGGCCGGAGCCGGCCGCACGCCTGAGGGGGTCGCGCTGCGCCCGCCCCCTCCCCGCCCGGCGCTGGGCGCACGCGCGCTCCTCCCGCCACCCCTCCCTCCGCGGGGACCCCTGGCGGGTGGCGCGTGGACATGGCCAGCGACGCCGTGCAGGTAGGCACACCTGCGTCCGCAGCTGCCCGGCGGCCAGACGGCTCCGGGGTTCGGGGGAGCGGGGCGGCCAGGGAGAGAGCTTCCTGAGCGCCTGGCGCCCCTTTTTCTAGGCCCGCACCAGGGAACCAATACGGGCCCTTTCTCGGCAGGTTCAGGGACGTACCGGGTGGGGGAGCTGGGAGGTGCTGGAGTCCCCCGCTGCCTCCCCAGGCGCAGCCCCTTCGCTAGAACCAGAGGAGAGGCAGAAGCTTGACTTCGGGTGTCCTGGTGTCAGGGTGCCTGTCGCCCCCGCCACTCGCCCCCCTCCCAGAGTTCGGTTCTCGGCAGGTGCTGTTCCACCTGGGGGCAGGTGCCTGGCACTGTGCCGAGGGAGAGGAGGAGGCCTCCCGGACAGTGCTCTTCCCCCTCACAACAAAGCTCTAAGGGCCCCTGCCTCCAGATGGAGCTTTACGATGGTCCCGACGCCACCGGATTGGCACCTGTTGGAGGAAGTGCCCGAGTCACCTCATTAGGTCCGGGGACAGAGGACCCAAATAGGCTGCCAGGTGGAACCTTACCCAGGTGGGGAGTGTCCAGGTCAGTACGCCAGGAGGTTTTCTGGTACCTGAAATCCCTACCATGGCATGAGTGATAGGATAAGGTCACTCCCCACCCCCACAGAAACAGGTGACTGGCAGGCACCAACCTGTCACCCAGCCAGGTTCTCCTGGTACTACCTTGTGGACATCACAGTCCTGCACTCACCTTTCCCATCTGTGACAAGCAGGTCCAGGGTGAAATCTGGCCTTTGGTTCAAATGACTCAAATCTGAAACTGTCCTGTGCCTCTGGTGCTGTCATTAGTGCCTCACCGTCCCTCTGTTGTCCTGTGGTTGCTGTATAACTGGGTTCTCCTCTCCTTCTGCACCTGCCCTGGTTCCCTCTGTGTCTCCCCCATGATCCTCTGTCCCCCACCCCAGTCCTGCTGATGGCCTGCCAGCCTTGCCGAGGAGCTGGGCGGATCTGGTGTTGCCGATCACACAAGGTCAGACCTTGGGTCCCTGCCTCTACCCCCCAGCCCTGGGAGGACTGTGTAGGAATCCCCTGGTGCATGCATGCGCTTGGCATGTACCAAGTATGATCCAGACAGAGGCTGTGATTCCTGGAACAAGACTCATGTCCTGGGCCCCTTTCCACCTCTTGTCTGCTTTTTCCCCCCTTTCCTGGCCACCCCTTTCTTGTGCTTGGGCTTGCCGTCCTCTCCCTCTGTCTGTCCCCATGTGTGCCTGTCTGTTCTGTGTCCGGCAAACGGATGTCCTGTCCAGATTCCGGAAACGCCTAAGGCATTGAAATATCCGGACTTGGGGGGTCTAGATCCCAGGCAACTCTGAGAAGAGGAGGATTCTGGGAGGTGGACCCTTTGAATCTGTTATCTCCTGCTCCATGGTGGAAGATGGGGGAGCAGGGATTCCCCAAGGCTGGTGCCAGCAGCACCTGGTTCATGGGTTTGCCAGGCTGGCCCTTGGGTGACCCCTGTTCCACTGTAGGAGTGAGTCACCCCTATTGAGGGAGGTGAGCTTGAGGAAGGAGAACCCTGGAGGCTGGTCCTCTTCCTCCCTGCTCTGCATATTCTCAGGCCTCCAGGGATGATCCCATCCCTGGAGGTGGGATCAAGAGAGCCTGCTCCTTCTCTCTGTCTGGACTTCCCCCATTTAAGCTGGTTCTGCTTGTGCCTGTACTCCTGCTCTGCCTGCTTGGGACAGGGTGGGATGGGTGGTGGATGAGATCTAGTTGGGTGTGGGTAGTATTAGGTGAGCCTGGGATTTAATTCCATTGAGGTCATTTCCTTGCTGTGTGTCCTGCGTTCAAGTGCCTTTGCCTCTCCGAGCCTTTGTTCTACTACTGGAAAAAGTGGGCTAAGTGGGTGCTCATGGGGGAGAGAGATACCAGGACATCATTGTACGGGTGGGACTGCTGTGAAGTTTTTGCCGGTGGTCATGGTCAGCAGCTGATAGGGGGTGAATCTATGTCCTTTAACCCAGGGCCTCCCACCCTTGGCACTGTCAACACTTGGGGCAGGATCATTCTTTGGGTGGCGTTATCCTGTGCACTATAGGATACTGAGAAGAATCCCTGTTCTGCACCCATAGATGTCAGTAGCTCTCCCTCACCACCCCCAGTTGTGACAACTAAAAATGTCTCTGGATGTGGCCAGTTGGAGGTAGGCCAAAATTCACCCTCCCACCATTGAGAATTGCTGGTGTTACCTCTTTGAGCCTCAGTCTCCTCACTTGTAGATTTGGGGGGGGGGCAGTTAATGTCAGCTACTCAGTATTAGTGTGAGGGTGTGATTGAGTTATGGTACTAAATGATACTCTGGGTCTGCAGTAAACCCTGCATAGGGACCGCTGCCCTAGAGCTTGATTAGGAGCCAGTGAAGACTTTCCTCATCTGTGAAGTGGGTTTTCACAGTGCGGGGAGATAGTACAAGCAGGGTACTCAGTGCCTAGTAAGCGCTAAATTCTGGATGCTCTGGTTTTAAATCCCAGCCCTGCTTCCTGTGGACTGTAGGACCTTGGGGCAAGTTATGTTACTGCTAAAGGTCTCAGTTTTCTCACTTTGGAAGTGGGGTCATAATAGTACCCTCCTTGTTGATGTACATTAGTTGGCCTGGGTGACGCTTGGAGGAACTGCCATTATTATTAATAATCAAGCTTAAACTTGGATGGGTTGCTGATCTGGGGGCACTCGCACCACCACAACATGTAGTGCTATGTCCCCATGATGTGCTACTGGTCCAACTGGGTCCCCTGGGCCTGCAAGCTGTGGTCAGCAGCAGGGGGCCACCAGACTGAGAGGAAGTCGGAAATTGTCATGGCCTGTGTCTGTGGGAAGGGGGTGGTTTATATGAGTGCTAATGGCGTTTGCATATAGTTGTATGACAGGATAGGCTTAGGGGTGTGCACACAATCACCAGCCAATATATGCTTATATTATATGAAGGTGTGCGCATACCTGAGCCAGCCCCTGGAGCCTGCATATACTTGGGGGAGCCTGCTCCCCACATCCACACTAGTGGGCATGTGAGTGAATTTGTGCACACTGTGTACCCCTTGAGTGGGACGGGAATCAAGAGCTATCCCTGGGTTATCTCTACTGAAACAGGCTCAGCCTTGTGGGGGTGCTGAGAGTAAGGTTCCTTAGATGCCCTACAGCCCTGTGGCTGGCCCAGCGCAGGGGATGCTGGGAGTAGCAGCAAAGAGGAAGTGGTAAGCAAGAGGAGCGAGAGGCCCTGGCGGGGCAGAGGTTCAGGAAGAGGGCGGGGTCCCCAGCCAGGACCCAGGATGGCGGAGTCTGATCCCCCTTTGGACCAGGAGCTGGAGGTAGAGTCTGGGGTCCCTTCAGGGAATGGGTGGGAGAGGACCCAAGTAGCATAGGCCAGAGGCCCTGCCTTCTGGACGTCTCAGTTTTGAACTACAGGGAGGAGATAGGGCTGTGGTCATGGCCTCGGAGTTTTCTCTTTGGAAGATGAGACGAGTTGGGGCCTTTTGGCACTCCCAGATAGAAGAGGAAGATAGGTCTCTTCTCTTTGGGGTCCTAGTGGTAGAGGATGAGAGGATGGGAGATGAAGCCTGTCCTAATTTGGAGGTATAACAGGAGAAAGACTGGGCTTACCCTCAGGATCTCCTAGTTTGAGGGTACAGCAAAGAGGAGAAAGGGCCTGCCCTTGATACTTCCTTGTTTGGGGCCTACATTCTGGACCTCCTAGTTTAGGGGGGCAGCAGAGGGGAAAAGGAATATACCCTTAGGACTTTTCACAGGTATCAACAGAAGGGAAATAAGACCTGTCCTTAGAACCTTCTAGTTTGGGGGGACAGCAGAAGGAACAAAAGTCTTGTAGCCTTAGGGCTCTTGGGAGGTACAGTGCAGGGGTGATGGGCCTATGCTCTGAATCCTGCTATATAAGGAAGGTGAAGGGAGATGTGGCTATTGGGTCCCCTAGACTAATGGGACAGGGAGGGAAGAATGCCCTGTCTTTCCAGTTTGGGGGTCAGGTAACAGGGACAGGGCCCTGTCTCATCTCCCAGCTTTTGGGGTCAAAGGACACAAAGCCATCCCTGTCATGGGTGTTCCAACCCAGGATGAGGCGAGGCCCAGTGCACTGTGCACCCCAGAGCCCTCCTGGCCCCACTGACCCTACTCCATTCCCCTGCAGAGTGAACCACGTGGCTGGTCCCTGTTGGAGCAGCTGGGCCTAGCGGGTGCAGACCTGGCAGCCCCTGGGGTGCAGCAGCAGCTGGAACTAGAACGGGAGCGTCTGCGGCGGGAGATCCGCAAGGAGCTAAAGCTAAAGGAGGGTGCTGAGAACCTGCGGCGGGCCACCACTGACCTGGGCCGCAGCCTGGGCCCTGTGGAGTTGCTGCTGCGTGGCTCCTCACGCCGTCTGGACCTGCTGCACCAGCAACTGCAGGAGCTGCACGCCCACGTAGTGCTGCCTGACCCTGCAGCCACCCACGGTGAGTAGGGTTTCCCTCAGTGTGAGACTTCAGGGGTTCTGCTGCCTGAGGCTCACCCACAGTCCTCTGAGGTGAAGCTAACCTCATCTCCACTGACCCCAGGAAGGAGCACTCAATAATGACAACTTTGAGTTTCAAAATACAGGCAGAGGAAACAACAAAATCAACACACCCAGAAAAAGGCATACAGTTATGCCAATACCCAGGCACAAATCAAAGGATTTACACAGTTTTATGTGACTGTCTAGGCTCACACAGGCACACCACCAAAACAATACCAAAGGACTTATACAGTGTCACAGGAGTACCTAAGACAGATACAGTTGCAACAACACCTAGAGACTTACACACTATCACACCTAGAGACTTACACAGTATCACACAAACATCTAAAGACAACCACACCAATACTGGATGACACCCAGAAACCTATGATGTTACATAAGTACTCAAAGACTTACATAGTTTTACCTGGATAGGTATACTCACATCAACACCTGCACAACACCAGAGAACTTACATGTCATATAAGTACCCAAAGACACAGTTGTATCAACACCAGAGCATACCCAGGAACTTAGTGGTACATGATTATCTAACAGTCACATCGGTAATCCTGCCTACCTGTGACTATACAGCTACCTCTTTTTTTTCTCTTTTTCCTGATAAACCTGTCCTTTTAAAATGTAAAAAAAGAAAAAACACAGTCACACTAATATCTAAAGGCTCGCAGTCACACCTGGATGACATCTGGAAACTCACACAGCATTGCATGCATACTCAAAGACACAATCACACCAATACCCAGACAACATTCAAAGCCATGCACACTGTCACACAAATACCTAGAAATGTAGATAGTCATACCAACCCCGAGATGATACCCAAAAACTCTCTCTCTCTTTCTTTTTTTTTAAGATTTATTATTTATTTTATACAAGCACTGGGTACAGTCAGAAGCGGGAGGGTGAGAGGATTCACCAGAGACAGAGCAGGGAGCAGAACAGGCAGACTGACGAAATATACTGCTGAGGGGAGCAGTGGGCACAGCAGGAGAGGTCTGCACGCCATGTGGGACCCTCGCCAGCGGCCAGGGATCAAACCGGGGCTGCAGAGGCTGTGGGCAGCTTCGCAGCCCAGCGCTCAACCGCTGTGCCACCAGGAAGGCCCCTCTCTCTTTTTTTAAAAAGATTTATTTATGCATACAAGAGGTGGGGTATAGTCCAGAGGTGTGGGGTATGTGTGGACCCACCAGAGACAGAGTGGGAAACAGAACAGGCAGACTGACTGAAATACACTGCTGAGGGGAGCAGCGGGTGAGACAGGAAAGGTCTACTTCGCCATGTGGGTAGCTCCCTGGCCAGCCTGGATGGAACTCATGCTGCAGAGGCTGGATTGCTTCATAGTGCGATGCTTAACCCCTTGTGCCACCAGAGAGGCCCCCAAAAACTCTCTTAAAAATTTCACTAATTGTAGGGCCTCCCTGGTGGCGCAGTGGTTGAGTGCTAGCTTGCGAAGCTGCCCGCAGCCTCTGCAAGCCCGGTTCGATCCCCGGCCACCGGGCGAGGGTCCCGCATGGTGTGCAGACCTCTCCTGCCACCCGCTGCTCCCCTCAGCAGTGTGTTTCGTCAGTCTGCCTATTCCATTCCCTGCTCTGGCTCTGGTGAATTCTCTCACCCTCCCGGACTTCTGACTGTGCTCAGTGCTTGCTTGTATGTATGTATGTATGTATGTATGTGTAAATAAATAAAAAAGTAAGTAAATCTTTAAAAAAAAAAAAATTCACTAATTGGGCCTCCCCGGTGGCGCAGTGGTTGAGTGCTGGCTTGCGAGGCTGCCCACAGCCTCTGCAACGCCAGTTCGATCCCCGGCTGCTCGGCAAGGGTCCCATATGGGGCGCAGACCTCTCCTGCCACCCACTGCTCCCCTCAGCAGTGTACTTTGTCGGTCTGCCTGTTCTGCTCCCTGCTCTGGCTTTGGTGAATTCTCTCACCCTCCCGTGCTTCTGACTGGAACCAGTACTTGTATAAATAAATAAACCTTAAAAAAAATTCACTAATTTTTAAAAAGATTTATTTATTTATGCATACAAGACCTGGGATGCAGGCCAGGGGTGTGGGGAGGGGTGAGAGGATTCACCAGAGAGAGTAGGGAGCAGAGCATGTGGATAGACAGAAATACACTGCTGAGGGAAGCAGCAGGTGAGACAAGAGAGGTCTGCTGCGCCATGTGGGTCACCTCCCTAGCTGGGGATTGAACTCGTGCTGCAGTAGCTATGGATAGCTTCATAGTGCTGTGTCTTAACTCCTTGTGCCACCAGGGAGGCCCCTCTTTAATCTTTTTTTAAAGATTTATTTTTATGCATACAGGAACTGGGGTGTAGGCCAGAGATGTGGGAGGTGAGAGGATTCACCAGAGACAGGATGGGAAGCAGATTAGGGAGATCTACTGAAATACACTGCTGAGGGGAGCAGTGGGCGAGACAGGAGAGGTCTGCTGCACCATGTGGGTCACCTCCCTTGCCTGCCATCGAACTCATGCAACAGTGGCTGGTGATAGCTTGATGGTGCTGAGACTTTAACCCCTGCACCACAAGGGAGGCCCCATTCAAAATTTCTTTACATTTTATTTAAACATTTTTAATTGTAAAAAAAGATATAAAATATACCATTTTTTAAGTGTGTGGTTCAGTTGTATTAAGAATATCCACATTATTGTACAGGGATCTGCAGGGCTTTTCATCTGGCATCCAAATACCCTTACACATATCATACATAGTGGCTAGAAACCATCGCACATAATCACACTTATACCTAGCCAACACTCAACAATGTAGGCACTATTACATAAACAGCTAGAGACCCACACAGAGTCCCAGAAGACCCAGAGACTTCCATATTGCCACACAACACCCAAGGAAATGCTGTCATACCAGCACACAAATAACACCTAGAAATTCACATATAATCACACTAATCTTCGGGGAGTCACACATACAACTGTTCAACCTTTACAGATGCTCACAGTCCTGTCACAGACTTAAATGCACAGTAAGACAAGGCCTGAAGATTCAACACGTACACCAATAGCCAACACTTCTATATACATGGCTATGCCAATAGATGGGTACTAACATAGTCACAGCAATACTCAGTGATGGAAAAGAGAATTCAGCCAACACAGAGAATTTCATATGATCATATTATACCGTGAGTCCCCCCTATAGTCACACCACTCCCCAGAGATTCACAGAGCTCTGCCAGCATCCAGAGACACTCATGTGTAGCTATATCAACACCCAAATACCCAAACACTGATATACCAGCACCTAGAAATCCAAACACACAGTTGTGACAACAGTCAGAAATGGCATAGAGTCACACTAGCATCCAGAATCTCATAAAGCATTTTACATAGTTATACTAGCCCCAAAGGAGATACACTGGCTCAGTTACGCCAGTGCTATCTAATGACACCCGTGGACACCCACTCAGCTATGTAAATCACAGGACTTCCCTATACAGTCACACAACACCAGGGGCTCACCACCACTGACCATTTGCCTGTGTTCACTTGTGCTAGACCTGCCCTAGCCCTAAGGAAGTCTCCCTGGGAGGGAGGTGATTTACCTCTGGTTCCTGAGCTCTTCCTTCCTGGGCCTTGGGTCAGAGTCCAGGCAGGGCAGAGGGTGGATTCTTTCAAATGGAGCAAAGGCTCCTGGGCAGATGTAGGTGAGGTCCATGCTGACTCTGTGCCACCTGCCCTCTCCAGATGCTCCTCAGTCCCCTGGTGCAGGTGGCCCAGCCTGCTCGGCCACCAACCTGAGCCGTGTGGCTGGCCTGGAGAAGCAACTGGCCATTGAGCTGAAAGTGAAGCAGGGGGCAGAAAACATGATCCAGACGTACAGCAATGGAAGCACCAAGGTGGGGCAGCGCGTGAGCACACTCCCACGTGTACACACACCTGTGAGCACAGCCTGGCGGGGCAAGGGCATTGCTACATCTGTCCCTGTGGGCAGCCTGGACCCTTTTGGCTGGGGTCCAGGGGCTGATGGGTGACTTGGAAGCAGGACTGGGATGCAGGTAGCTCATGAGGGCTATGGAAGATAGGGTGATCATGGGTGGTATCGGACCATGATACCATGGCAGAGATTGTCCCCTCACTTACTTATCCCAGAGATGCAAGGGTATCCGTGGTCATGGCAGCATGCAGCCTCTCACTGCTGGGTTCTCTCTCTGACATACGTACACACAGTGAGACAGCACACATGCACCATCCTAACAGCTAGACACACACCCATGATCATAACATCATCTAGAAACACAAAGATCCCATTATAACTTACATAAATAGCAGTAACAGTACTTAAGAGGTACATGGAAACCTCTAGATCCAGAGACACATATACCATCGTATAACACCTAGGACACACATCACAGGCCAACATCATAATACTGGAACACACACATCACACCCAGAGATTGGTGTTGCCACACATACACCCCCAAATCATATCAACACCAGGAACATAGTCACAGGGCTCCATCAACACCCAAGGATGCTTGCAGACAGGCACAGCGATACCTACAGCCTGAGACCTGTGCACACACTGCCAGGAGTATACCCATGCCCTGTGTATGCACACAAATGGAAATATTGTAAATATTTTTTAAACCTTTTATTGAGGTGTTATGTATAGACACAAAGTGCAGAAACGTACATGTATAACCTGATGAATTTTTATCTGCTTAAATACCACCTATATCAAAGTACAGAACATTTCATTCATAAAGTTGCCTCCTGCCTCCTCCAGTCAATACCCAGGCTCTTTCACCAAAGATCATATTTGGTGCTTTTGAACTTTATCCAGATAGAGTCACGCCTCACCCTCTTTCCCCTCTGAAATGCCCACCTTGGGCTAAGGATCCCCTGCAGTACCATGGTTCTCAGCTTCTGTGGCTGCTGACTGACCCTGAGTCAGGGGCTGAGATTTCTGGGGTTGGAAGATTCAACTCCATGACAGGGAATAGCCATAAGCCCTGAAACCACTGTTCATAGATTTCATCCTCTCAGAGGCAGAGTGTATGTATGTGCCAGCCATAGAATAGCCGCTGCTAAGAGGCCTTGTTTAAGAAAAAAAATCCCCCCTTGAATCTGATCAATTGTTTCTCTACCTTTTTTAATTATCACTTCCCTAAGGAAGCTTTTCAGACATTTTTTTTTTTTCATAATCATCTTATCCCCTGATTTTTTTTTGTGTATGTGATAAAATACCAATAAAGTATACCATTTTAACATGAACAATTCAGTGGCATTAAGTATATTCACTGTATTGTGTGACCAGCACCTCTGTCTACTTCCAGAACTTTTTATCACCCCAAAGGAATCCATTAGCCATCTCTCCTCATAACCCTCCCTCAGCCCTTGGCAACCACTAATCTGATTTCTCTGTATATAAATTTAACTTTTCTGGACATTTCATATAAATACAATACATCCCCTTTCCTGCCAGGCTTCTTTCATATAACAGAATGTCTTCAGGGTTCATCCCTGTTGTATTATAATATGTATCAGTATTGGATTTCATTTTATGACTGGATAATATTCTGTGGTATGGTTATAGCATATTTTCTGTATACATCCATCTATTGATGGACATTTGGGTTGTTTCCACCTTTTGGCAGTTGCGCTGCTATGTACATCTGTGTACAAGTATTTAAATACTACCCTATGAAATTTTGAAACAGATCACATGTTTATCTGTGGATACATACCTGTACTTTATTCACAAAAAGAGTAAAAGTTTTTCACTCCCTAAGAACTGATTTCTGCCCCATGGGGCAAACATGAATAGAATAAACACAAATATCTTTCAGTGTCTTATCTGTCTTATCTGTGAACATAGCACAAAGTGATGGAAAAAACCCACAACAAGTTTCTAGCATTTGCATACACAGGGTCCTGGGCTCTGCCTGCTCATCACCATAACTTGGCACCCACAAATATCTGTACCCCTGCTTACCACCCCTGCTCACACACATACCCAGTCACCCTTGGAGACTATCCACCCAGCTACAGGGCTTCAACCACCATGGGGACTATACTCCCATGTGCATGCTGCTCTGACAGTTGACACAGGGAGTGCCTGCTGCTGCCAGGCATAACTCTCAGCCTCACATACAGATGAGCTCCCTCAATCCTTTGCCCAGTGAGTGTTGGTGCTATTAGTGCTCCCATTCTACAGATGAAGAAACAGGCCCAAAGAGGAGGAGTTGATTATGTGACACAGCTTATCACACAGCACCAGGATTCAAGCTCCATGAGCTACCTCATCATTTCACACCCGTAATGCATGTGCATTGTCATACCATACACAAATGCTCTGTCATATGGTTGCCCAATGCCTGCTTGGTGTGGACATGAGCACTGGTGGTCAGACCCCAGCTGCCCAGCCTTCCCCTCTGGGCTGTATCTACCTCCAGGACCGGAAGCTGCTGCTGACGGCTCAGCAGATGCTGCAGGACAGTAAGACCAAGATCGACATCATCCGCATGCAGCTCCGCCGGGCATTACAGGCAGGCCAGCTGGAGAGCCAGGCGGCCCCAGATGAAGCCCAAGGTGAGCCCGTCACCCTGAGACAGCCTAGGCTGTGTTCTGCTGGGCAGAGTGTGGTTTCTAGCCCTATGAGGGGCCCTTTCTGGGAGCAGGGAGATAGGTGCTGTGATTCCCTGTGAGACTAGAACTCACTTCTGCTGATCTCTGAACCTTGGTTTCCCCCTTGGGGTTTGTATGTGATCAGGTATTGACAAACTACAGCCCATGGGCCAAATCCCGGCAGCAGCTTTTTTTATTGGCACATAGCCACACCCATTCATCTACTGCCAGCTAAAGCTGCTTTTGAGCTGCAGCAGTAAAGCCAGGTAGTGGCAACAGCCTGTGCATTTTGTGCAAAGCTGAAAATATTTACTTTTGGCTTTTTATGGGAAAAAATTTGCAGACCCTGGACTAGGTGATTGTCTTGTCATGTTGGTTCCCATTGTGTAGCAGTGTCTACGGCTTGTGTATGTTTCTGTATGTGTGTTTGTATGTGCATGCCTGGTGGTATCTCAACCCGACATCAACCTAAATTTGTGACAGGGTCTTGATGTACAACTATATACTACATATCAACCTTTTAGCCAACAGTGGTCTGTGTGTGTAACATAGGTGTATAGCTATATGTAGTAGGCTGTAGCACCTGGGTTTATGTAAGTATACTTTGTGAATTTTGCGTAACAGTGAACTCACCTAATGTCGCATTGCCGAGACCCTGTTGTTACACAGTGAATGACTGTGTGTGAGAGTGACTATGCTGCTGATGTATGTCAGTGTTAATGTGTCTTTGACTGTGGGGTTAGGGTTGTGTGTAGGCCCTGGTAGCAGTGTTAGCCTGTGTGTCATTATGAGAGTTATAGGAGTGTCAGCTGTTGGTGGTTGTCAGTCCATTCGGATTACTTTAACAGAACGTAGACCAGGGAGCTTATAAACAACAGACATTTATTGCTCACAGTTCTGGAGGCTGGAGGTACATCAAGGCCCTGGCCAATCTCACATTTGATGAGGATCCGCCTCCTGATTCCTACACAGAGTCTTCTCCCTGTGTCCTCATATGGCAGAAGGGGCGAGTAGCTTTCGGCAGTCCTTTTATAAGAACTCTGATTGTATTCATAAGGGCTCCACTCTACTAACCTAATCACCCCAACAGTACCTCTTCCATTGGGTGTTGGGTTTCAGCATGTGAATTTTGGGCAGACACAAACATTCAGACCTATCAGTGGGTCTTGTAACTCACATGACAAAGTGTGTTTTTTGTGGGGGAGGTGCTAGTGACTGTGGGTGTTTCAGTGACCACGTGTGGTGGTGTGATCATGTTCTCTGGGTGATAGTGTGACTTTGCCCTGGGAATATAAAATTCTTGACTACATGTGACAGCAGGCTTGAGAGTGATAGTGTGACTGTGTTTGTAAGGTAAGGAGCTATGAATGTCAGGGTTCCTGTGATTCTGTGTTCCTGTCAGTATTAGTACCCACTGTTGCAGGTGACGGTATGACTTAGTGTTACGGTTTGAGCTTGGGTCATTGTACAGAGATGGTGAGACTGTCTCTCGAACCTACATGTAAGTGTGCTTCACGGTGACAGGATGTCTTTGTGCCTGTGACTGTGTCATTGGGAGACTGTGGCCACATCCGGTGTCTGGCTGTGTCTCTGTCCCTGATCATTCACACTGGGCATGACAGTCAGGCTGTTGTCCTACAGCATTACTCTCCAAACCTCTGGGTATTGGTGGTGCTGTCCTGCCTGTGTGACTGTGTGATGGCACTTCTTTGCCTGACCTCATGCCTTATCCGTGGGGCAGTGCAGTGAAATGCCTGTGATTTTCCCTGGACCACAGTGTGATGTGTCCATAAGGGTTGTTGTGTCTTATGACCACATCCCTATGCCCCCTGACAATGTCCCTGTGTGGCAGTGTGTTCCTCTGCTTGTGGGTGACAGTGTGCCAGCATTGGTGACAGAATGATAATGCACTGTCACCCTGTGAGTGACACACAGTATCTGTGTGACAGTGTCCCTGTTCCCACAACTACACTCCCTTTCATCATGTGGGTGGTTATCATTCATTATCCAGACCCCCTAACTGAGGAAACTGGGTTGTTTCCAATCTTCTTTTGCTTTTAAAAGAAGGCTGCAATGAATAACTGTGTACCCATGTGAAGCGCAGAAGTGTTTCTATGGGAATTGAACTGGAATTGCTGAATCAAAGGGTAAATACATTTGTGATTTTGATAGATCTAGCCAAATTCCCTCCACTGGAAGCAACCTTTGTTCCATCAGCAATGAATAAAAAATTGCTATTTTTTAAGAAAGCAACCCTGTGTCTCTGTGGCTACATCCTTGTGACTGTCTGGTTGCCCTGGTGGCTCTGTAACAGCCCTTGGGGATGAAGTGGGACTTGGGACACATGTCTGCCTCTAAGCCTGTATTGAGAGAGTGCCTGTATATGGAACTGTCCCTGTGTGGTGACAGGCTAGTTGTATCTCTGACACCCTCGCTTTGGTGACAGTGTTTGGATAAAATAGTGACTACGACTGGGTGGAAATATGACCGAAGTAAGACCATGCCTATGGGTGATGGTGTGACTGTATCACGGAGACCCTCCATCCCTTTGGGAGAAACATGGTGCATGCGGGTGGCAGGATGTCTGTGGCCCATTCCTGTGGATGACTGTGTGTCTGGGACTGGGCTGGTTGGACCAGGGTCCTGAGCTGGCCTCACTGCCCAGTGTCCCATGCCCATAGGGAGCCCAGACCTGGGAGCCGTGGAGCTACGTATTGAGGAGCTGCGACACCACTTCCGAGTGGAACATGCGGTAGCAGAGGGCGCCAAGAATGTGCTGCGTTTGCTCAGTGCTGCCAAGGCCCCAGACCGCAAGGCGGTCAGCGAGGTGAGGAAGTGGGTGGGCTTCAGTAAGGGGCGGAGCCTTGGTCAGGGTGGGCCCACTCACCATGTGAGGGGTGGAGGCTGGGACTTCCGTAAAGAACAGTCCTTGATGGGGGTGGTTCCTCGGCGAAGGGGAGGTGCCTTAGTGATATGGGACTTCTGCAAAGTATGGGGCATCAGCAAGGGGCAGAGCCTAGTTTTCTGGCAGCCCAAGGATAGCACCCATATAGGTGGAGGGCTTTGACTGTCAGGGCTAAGGAGCCCCTGTGGGACCTAGTTTAGGGAAGGGGCGTGCCCAGTCAGTCCCCCATGACTGGTCCCACTTAACACAGGCCCAGGAGAAGCTGACCGAGTCAAACCAGAAGCTGGGGCTCCTTCGTGAGGCACTGGAACGGCGACTAGGGGAGCTGCCAGCTGACCATCCCAAGGGGCGGCTGCTACGTGAGGAGCTAGCTGCAACCTCCTCCCCAGCCTTCAGCGCCCGCCTGGCAGGACCCTTCCCTGCCACGCACTACAGCACTCTGTGCAAGCCCGCTCCACTTACAGGTGGGTCCTGACCTCCTCCACTCAACCCAAACCCTGTAGCTCTAGACTCCTGACTCTTCCTAATCCCCCAACCCTGCACCCCTAGATCTTCACTCTCCCCAGCCCTGGAACCCATCCCACTGTTTTCCCTTCTCCATTCACTACAGCCCTCCAGTCCTGTACTTCATTTCTACAGACCCTTCACCCTGGATGTCCAGCTCTGCTTTTGCCCTCTGATTCTGGGCTCTTGCTGGTGTCCCTACCATCCTCACTCTCTCTACTCTGCCATTTGACCCTGGCTTTTCCCTCCAGCCCCTCCCTCTGCAAACCCTTAGCTCTAAGCCTTTGGACCCACCCACCCCCTTCAGACTGCCTCATCCTCCTTGAACCCCTCATTCATACTTCACCAGACCAGCCCCCATACTAGAATTTAGATCAGCCCACTGAATCCTGCTCCCCGCTTTGCCTATACTTTGGTCCTGAACCTCTCTTCTGTCCCTAAACCTCAGCATCCAGAGCATCTCCCCATCTGGGCTGCCTTCTACCCCCATCCCTTGTCCCATATCCCTCACATCTGGGCCAAGACCTGCATCTGCCATACTCTGCTTGTCCCTTACCAACTCAAATTTGCATGCTGACCACTTCTGGACATAGCCTCCTCTCAACTTGCCACAGATGTGGCCCCCTTTAGCCTGCCCCTCCCTCAGGTACCCTGGAGGTGCGCATGGTAGGCTGCAGAGATCTTCCAGAGACCATCCCCTGGAATCCGTCACCCTTGGTGGGGGGACCAGGGACCCCTGACTGCCGTACCCCCTTCCTGAGCCGTCCAGCCCGGGGCCTTTACAGTCGGAGTGGAAGCCTGAGTGGCCGGAGCAGCCTTAAACCTGAAGCTGAGAGCACCAGTGAGTGGGCTTGGGAATCTGGAGGGGTGAGGTGGTGGGGGAGACCTGGTGCCCCACATGTAACATTTTAAAAAAGCCATTACATCATACCCAATAATATGGGTACTATAAAACAAAACCAGAGTTGGTGAGGATGTGGAGAAATTGGAACCCTTGTGTCCTGCTGGTGGCAGTGTTAAATGGTGCAGCCACTTGTGGAAAATGGTGTGGTAGATTCTTACAAAATTAAATGTGGAATTACCAGATGATCTCGCAATCTTGCTTCTGATATATATACAAAAGAGTTTAAAGCAGGATCTCAAGGAGATATACATGAAATTATTGTACTTATAATAAGTTCATAGCAGTATTATTCACAATGGTCAAAAAGGGAAGCAACCCAAGTGCCTATTGACAGATGAATGGATAAACAAAATCTTCCGTTCATACGGTGGAATATTATTCAGCCTTAAAAAGGAAGGGCATTCTGACACATACAATATAGGCAAACTTGAGAAGACATTATGCTAAGAAAATAAGCAAGACACGAAAGAACAAATACCGTATAATCCAAATTATGAGGTATCTAAAGTAGTCTAATTTGTAAAGATAGAAAGAATACTGGTTGTCAGGACTGAGGGGAGGGAGACAGGGAGTGGATTTTTAATGGGGACATAGTTTCAGTTTGGGAAAATGAAAAGAGTTTGGAAACGAATGGTTGTTGATGGTTCCATATCAGTGTAAACATATAAATTTTGTGTTATGTGAAATTTACCACAAATTAAAAACAAACATGTAGGTATACAAAAGGAGAATAATAGTAGAGCCTACGGCCATGTTATCACCATCTGGGTCAAGAAATAGAACTCTCTGGAAACCCTCTCCTGCCATCTCCCCAGTTCCAGCCCCTTCCTCTGTTGTAGAGATAGCTGCTTTCCTGCCTTTTATGATTATTACTTCCTTGTTTTTCTTTGTAGTTTTAGCAGATGTGTACATCTCAAAATGATATAGCTTAGTTGTGCCTAGTGTTTGAACTTCATGTACATGTAATCATACAGAATGTATTCCATGGTAAATAAAAGCTTCTTTCCTTTAGCTTTTTTGGGGAGATCTATACTATTGTATCAAACTATAGTTCATTTATTCATTTTTTACTCCTGTTCAGTAGTCCATTGTCTTAGACTGAGCCATAGCAAATTGCTGTCTTTTTGAAAAATAAAAATAGTTGAGTATCTGTAATTTCATGATTCAGCTAAAAAGATGTTATAGTTTATATGTTAATTCTTTTGTTAATGGACAGTGAGATATTTTTACTTTGGGGACATTTTATAACCTTTAATGCTATGGGAGAAGGGAATGACTTCTTTATAAAACATAAGAGCTGGCCTCCCTTGTGGTGCAGGGGTTAAAGACACAGTGCTGTTGAGCTGTCGCCAGCTCACTGCGATGAGTTCCTGTCCAAGAAGCTGACCCACATGGCGCAGTAGATCTCAGCAGTGTATTTCAACATCTGCCTTTTCTGCTCCTCACTCTGTCTCTGGTGAATCCTCTCACCCCCTGCACCTCTGGCCTACACCCCAGTTCTTGTATGCATAAATAAATAAATCTTAAAAAAAAGATATAAGAGCTATTCCTCCCAACATTCCTTGACACCTCACATCTACCCCTGTTCCTCTTCCAGGTGAGGTTAGCACTGTACTCAAGCTCGATAACTCAGTGGTGGGGCAGACATCTTGGAAGCCATGTGGCCCCAATGCCTGGGACCAGAGCTTTACTTTGGAGCTGGAGAGGGTGAGTTGGGTGGGAGGAAAGCTGGGCTTAGAGGAGGGAGGGGTATTAGACCTGGGGCACCCCAAGTGATGGTCCTCTTTTTTTCCCTTGAGGCACGAGAACTGGAGTTAGCTGTGTTCTGGCGGGACCAGAGGGGCCTGTGTGCCCTCAAATTCCTGAAGTTGGAGGATTTCTTGGATAATGAGAGGCATGAGGTGCAGTTGGACATGGAACCCCAGGGCTGCCTGGTAGCTGAGGTACAACCCAACCCCTACCCTGAAAAAATGCTTCCTGCATCTCCTATTCTCAATTTTCTAGGAGAATATGTTTTCTATTGGTCTCTGAAACTTGATAGAAAAGTACATATAGGGAAAGGGGCGGGGAGTATGTACAATTAGACACATCAGTGACATGACTTAGGTTGGGATTGGTTTTGTTCTGAGGCAAGATTATTTTTTAAAATATCACAAAATTTGAAAAAAAAAAAAAACAAAAAAACCACCAAACCTAGTGACATGTTCTGGAAATTGCTACCAGGATCATAGCTGAGTAGATTTCTGTAGTGGGATTAGGATTAGGGTCCAGATTGGGATAGTCTGTCGGCAGCACTGTTGACACCTGTGGGTTGATTATTCTCCATTGCAGGCACCATCCTGTGCATTGTGGGATGCTGAGCAGCACCTCTGTTTTTCTCAGAATGCCAGTAGCACCTTCTCCCCCAATTGTGACAATCCAAAATGTCTCCAGGCATTGCTAGAGCCCCCTGGTGGAGAGTCCAGGGTCTTCATAACGTTGCTAACTGGCCCCTTGTTAAATGAGCCAACCTCCATTCTAAGTGCTTTGCTGGGATTAACTCAGGAATCCTTGGGATAACCCAATAAAAGAGGAGCTGTTATCACATGTGACAGAAGAGGAAACTGAGGCACAGAGAAGGAAAGGCATGGCCCCTTAATTTAACTAAAATTATCCTAAAAAACGCTTTAAATTTTCCCTGACGATATATGTATACCCTGGTTCCTCTGCCTGTATCCATATCCCCATGTGGAAATTCTTACATGATCTCCTAATTGAGGACCACTGGAGGAGAGGAGCCAACAGAGGGGTGACTTCAGATGTTAGGGCAGTGGGTGGTTCTTCTGTTTGGAGGACTTTTCGAAACCCCACAGAGGGTGGTGGTGGGCAATCTGGGGGCATTTCTAAAGCTGCCCTGCTAGCTTGCAGGGTTTCCTTAGAGCATTCTGTTTTCTTTTTCTGCCTTTCCCAAGTGCTAGCCTATAGAACTCTCTGAAGTTCTGTTGTCAAGAAGCCTGCAATAGTGTAGTTCTTTCATAGATAGAAGTGTTCTCTGTCCACACTGTCCAGTATAAGCACTGCCAGCTTCCTGAAGTGTGACTGGGGAACTGAAGTTTTCATTTCACTTAATTTATTCAGCCACACATGGCCAGTACAACCCTATAGAACACGCATGAAAGTCACAGTTCTGTGACCATAGCACCTTCTAGAAGATGTGTTGGAGTTGGAAGAATTCAACTCAACCAGTGGTTTCCCCAGATGGGTGGGCACCAGCATCACCTGGAGGACTTGTAGAAATATAGGCAGTTGGGCCCTACCCTTATGTTTCTGATTCAGTGAGTTCAGGTGGGGGCCCAAGAGCCTGCATTTCTAGCAACTTGCCAGGTGATGCTGCTACTGCTGGGTGGGGCAACACTTGGGGAATCAGGACCCTATATATGTAGGACATGTTGGCTGGAGTTGCATGTACATCTACTTAGGTCAGACCCCCTCCTCACCCCTAAGGAGGCCTGGTTACCTGCATCTTGCTTTTCTAAGATGGCACTTCAAAGGTAGCCCTGCTAAACCACTTGCTAATTGTCTAGTACTCTGTGGTTAGAAGTGATGCCAGTGTTAGCAACCCCAAGACATATGTGTACACCTATGTGCCTCAGCCCCCCAGCTGCCTGGTGTGGGTAAGGGTCCTCACCTGTTGGCCCCTCTTCCTAGGTCACCTTCCGTAACCCTGTCATTGAGAGGATACCCCGGCTCAGACGGCAAAAGATCTTCTCCAAACAGCAAGGTGAGGAGGAAAATGGGGAGGGGGAGAGCCCAGGGGTCTTGGGAGTGTCATGGGGCGTGACACCTGTCCCTGTCCCCCCAGGGAAGGCTTTTCAGCGCGCTAGACAGATGAACATTGACGTTGCCACCTGGGTGCGGCTGCTGCGGAGGCTCATCCCTAATACCACAGCCACAGGCACCTTCAGTCCTGGGGCTTCTCCAGGACCTGAGGCCCGGTCCACAGGGTAAGGAGGGAGGGACTTGGGTTCTCAACTGTCCCTGGTTACTTCCCAGGGTGCTGGGTCCCAGACAAGCCCACCTCTCTTATGCTGCAGCGACATATCTGTGGAGAAGCTGAACCTTGGGTTGACTCGGATAGCTCGCCCCAGAAGAGCCCTCTGGATCCTCTTTCCAGTGAATTGAGCCCAGTGAGTATCCCACTCTGATCCTGGACTTGGCCTGGGTAGTGTCAGGGCATTCTGCTCCAGTCTTCCTTCCCAGCTCCAGGCCCAGAGGTTGCCAGCAACTTCCCTGGCTCACACATGTCTGGCAGAACAGAGCCCAATTTTTCATACTGGATAAGAATGTGAGCTCAGGAGTCAGGCTACCTGGGTTCCTATCCTGATTCTCTCCCCTCTTAGCTGTGTGGCTGAGGGCAAGTAATTTCGCCTCTGCGTGCTCAGTACACTGCCCTGTAAAAGGGACACATTTAAAAGCTATGTGGATAATAGACAGTAAAATCTTTCCCAGGGGCATTTTCACAGGACAGAGAGAGTATTGTGGATAGGAGTGGGGCACAAGGGATCCTGCACGATAATGGGGATGCTCTGCATCTTGATCTAGGTCAGAGGTTAGTGCCTTTTTCCATAAAGGGCCACATAGTCAATATTTCCTGTTTTGTGGGCCAAATGGTCTGATTACAATTACTCAACGCAGCTGTTGTGGAAAGCAGCCACAGATGATACAGACATGAATGGGCATGGCTGAGTTCCAGTAAAACTTTGCTGATTGGCTCTGAAGTTTGAATGTCCTGTCATTTTCGTGGATCATGACATACTCTTTTTTTTCCCCCCACGACCTTGGCATTATCAGGATCATGAAATATTCTTTTGATACCCTCCCCAAATCTTTCAAAAATGTAAAAGCCATCCTTAGGCCTCCCCTGGTGACGCAGGAGGTTGAGCGCAGCTCTGTGAATCTGTCTGCAGCCTCTGCAGTTCGATTCCATCCCGGCCGGCCGCAGAGATCCCCCTGCGAGGCAGATCGCCCTGGCGTGGCAGTCCTCTCCTGTCTCACCCGCTGCTCCCCTCAGCAGTGTGTTTCAGTCACTCTGCTTGTTCTGTTCCCCACTCTGTCTCTGGTGAATCCTCTCACCCCTCCGTACATCTGGCCTTGTAGGGGGCAGGACAGACACAGTGCAGTTTTCTATGATCCAGCAGACCGGGTAAAGGAGGAGTCAGAATCCTGGAGCCCTCGGTGGCTTTTGCAGGCTTTTTATTTAGATTTACCAGGCACAAGGCAGGCAGGGGTGCTGGCGGGCCGGAGGCCTCCCGGCCCCCAGCAAGTCTCTACTCTTTCTGGGCACTCCAGTGAACTCTGCTGCTCTCGTGGTTCTGTTTCTGCTGCTCCTGCTTCTCTTCTGCTGGCGTCCCCGTGATGCTGCCCTTAAAAGCCCAGTCTTAGCCCAAGTGAATTACATCTACACATGCCCACACCCTACTCCAGGTGCCCGCCATCAGACATGCATTTGGGACCGCAGGGTTCTGTCATCTATCCTAATGGCGGGAGGGCAAAAAAGCCTGATACTTTTACCTTACCCTACAGGCCTGTACCCCGGTTCTTTTATGCATGAATAAAATAAATCTTAAAAAAAAAAGCCATCCTTAGCTCACAGACTGTATAAAAAATGGAACTGACCAGTCCCTGGTCTGAGAGATGGACATGTATGTAAGAGTTGGTCCTTTTGCTCACCCTGTGTGTATTTTATACCTTCTTTTTAAAAGAAATGAAAATAACAATGATGTAGTTCATTAATTGAAGAAGATACCTCATTAAATAGATGAACTTGGCAAAAAAATAGTTTTCTTTAAAGTATTTATTTATGCATACAAGAGCTGGGGTACAGGCCAGAGATGCGGGGGGTGAGAGGATTCACCAGAGACAGAGTGGGGAACAGAACAGGCAGACTGACTGAAATACACTGCCGGGGGGAGCAGCGGGTGAGACAGGAGAGGTCTGCCTCGCCATATGGGTTGCTCCCTGGCTGGCTGGGGATCGAACTTGTGCTGCAGAGGCTGCAGATTGCTTCATAGTACAGTGCTTAAGCCCTTGCGCCACCAGGGAGGCCCAAAAAATACAGTGTTGAATTAACATTGAATGCTGGGGAGGGTGTGGGGGTCAGGCAGTTGGTGGGAGGTGTGAATTGCTGCACCTCTTTGGGATAGTGTCTTGGCCATAGCTGCTTGATTTCAAAACAGACATTGCCCTTGACCCTGCATGTCCCCTCCCAGACATTCACATACATGACAGCAACACATGCAGAGCATGTTCACTGTCAAAGCTTTGTGTGAGCAAAGAGCAAAATTGGCGTCAGGGGCATGCGGTAAGTTCAGTCACATGCCACATAATATTTCTGTCAATTATGGACCAGATATAGGTGGTCCCCAAATTACTATTGCCTAGTGACCTTAAAGTTAGTATTTTACACTGGCAGCATCCTCATACATCTCTATGACATTTGTACAAAATTGTCTTAATGACACTTTTCTCAGAACATGTCTCTATGGTTAAGTCATGCGTGACTGTACTTGAGAAGATGGAATGGTATGCAGCTGTGAAAAATGAGGCTGCTCTCCCTGTGCTGGCACAGGATCATTTCTAAGACAGATTGCCCAATGGGAGATTGGAATACTGTCACGAGTGCAAGAAAAGTGGAGTCTGTACTAGCTGGTGTGGGTATAGACTATATCTAGAAAGATACCCAGGATATCATTAGCATTGGCTGGCTCTGGGGCAGGAGAGGACTGTTTCCACTGTATACCTGTATATACTGTTTCCACTGTATACCACTGTATACCTGTTTGCACAGATTGAATCTTTTTTTTCTTTTTTAAATTAGAGGCATGTATTTTTATTTATTTATTTGTTTTATTTATACATGCACTGGGTACAGTCAGAAGCGCGGGAGGGTGAGAGAATCCACCAGAGCCAGAGCGGGGAGCAGAGCAGGCAGAGGGACTGAAGTACACTGCTGAGGGGAGCAGCGGGCGGCAGGAGAGGTCTGCACACCATGTGGGACCCTCCTCCGTGGCTGGGGAGCAGCCGGGGATCGAACCGGCGCCGCAGAGGCCGCGGGCAGCTTTGCAGCCCAGCGCTCAACCGCTGCGCCCCAGGGAGGCCCTGCACAGATTGAATCTTTAGCACTGTTCATAGTAGAGGATGATGAACCAGTAGGTCATTTTTTTCCCTTAAAAATATTTTTGAAATATTGTTATGCATTGCATAACTATATCTACAGCATGTGTGAGGGAGAAAAATAAAGCAGAGAGGAGGACGGGGATGTACTGTTAATTATTTAATATGATAGTCAGCTGACCCCCTGCATAAGTTACATATGATTATAAAGGTCTAATGGGGGTTAGGGAGGAGCTGTGCAGATGTTGGAGAAAAGGAAAGTGTTGTAGGTGGAGGGAACAGCTGGTATAAAGGTCCTGAGATGGAAATGTGCCAGGTATGTTCAAGGCACAGTTAGAGAGGGACATTGTGGCTGGAGGAGTGAGTGAGGAGGCAAGTAGGGGGATGGGTGAGGTCACAAGGTAATGTGGTTATGGTTGCATCTGACTTCTCACACTCTGACTTCCTCTCTTGGCTGCAGAGTTCCCCCATCCAGGAAACTACCACTCCAAAACTGTCTCCAGAGACACAGGAGATCCCAGGCCCCACCCTGTGCAGGTGATACCCCTGCCCTGCCCGCCACCCACTACCCACATTCAACATCCTTGTCCACAGCAGTGTTCTCTCTCCACAGCCCTCTGAGGAAGTCACCACTGACCCTCGAAGATTTCAAATTTCTGGCAGTGCTGGGCCGGGGTCACTTTGGGAAGGTGAGGTGGGGGGCACAGTGTTTGGGGGCTGCAAGTCCAGACTTCTAGACCCTGGCCTGGCTGCTAAGGCTGCCACTGCCCACTCTGGTTTCAGGTGCTGCTCTCAGAATTCCGGTCCAGTGGAGAGCTGTTTGCCATCAAGGCTTTGAAGAAAGGGGACATTGTGGCCCGAGACGAGGTGGAGAGGTGGATTAAATGAGAGGATGCATTAAGCATTCTGCACAGTACCTGGCCTCCTGTAAATGCCCCATGGAGGCACTGAGATTGTCCTCAATCTTCCTGAATTCCTTTTATTAACCAGGAACCCAACTCAGACAGGCTTAAGCAAATAGAGGAATTTATTGCTCTAGATTAGAATAGTCCTGGGGTGTTGTGCCTTTAGGCATGGGTATATCTAGGTGCCCACATGCTGTCTCTCAGTTCTGGTTTTCTCTGTATGGGTTTTGTTGTAGTCCTCCTCCTGGGGGCAGAGATATCCCCATCCTAGCAGTTTAAGGCTCGCCCACCAGCTACAGCCCTTCTTCCTTAATCATTCTACCAGAAATCCTGAGATTGAGCCGCATTGGCTTGATTTCCCCATTTCTGAACCAACTCCTAGCTAGAGAAGTGAGGTTCTCCAACCCATGGAAGTTGGGGAACTGTTACTAGAATGAGGGATGGATCCCAGCAGAGGAGGTTCAGAGACATTAAGCAACTTGTGAAGGTTGCACACCCATGCAAGGTCCTCAATAAGTATCTGATGAGAACTTTGGGGTATGTGAGGGTAGCAGGAGGGGGAAGCTACTGTGGTCTCTGAGCCCTGCTTCCCACCCTATCCAGCCTGATGTGTGAGAAGCGGATTTTGGCTGCAGTGACCAGTGCAGGACATCCCTTCCTGGTGAACCTATTTGGCTGTTTCCAGACGCCGGAGCACGTATGCTTCGTGATGGAATACTCTGCCGGAGGGGACCTGATGCTTCACATCCACAGCGATGTATTCTCTGAGCCCCGAGCTATGTGAGCCTCACCCTTGCTCTGCCCCACCCCTTCACCTGCAGGCCCCTGCCTCGCAAGCTCCTAGAGCTTGGAGAGCACTGAGAAGGGGCTTTTGAGGATGGGGGAGCCAGGCTTATGTGGCTTGGTTGGCCTGGCACCCTCACACCAGCCTTTCTCTCCAGCTTTTATTCTGCCTGTGTGGTGCTGGGGCTGCAGTTTCTCCATGAACACAAGATTGTCTACAGGTGCGTGTGTGGGTGTGCTGGTGCTCATGCGTGCATGCTCTGCCCACCTGGGGGACCTCAGCTTTCAGGCAGGACCCAGATCCCACTCATTCCTCTTTACATCTCTTTAACCTCTCTCAGGGACCTGAAGTTGGACAATTTGCTCCTGGACACCGAGGGTTACGTGAAGATTGCTGACTTTGGCCTCTGCAAGGAGGGTGAGGGGCTGGGCCTGGGCTTGGGGGAGGGGCTGGGATCTGAGGAGCTGCGTCTGAGAATTAGGGGTGGGGGAGGGACTGGAGTTATCCCCATCCTGGGACAGGACTGCTTATTAGGACCACCCTATGCCAGACTGGACTAGAGCTGGGACCCCTCCCTGCCCTCCGTATCCTTACTGCCCTGCTTTCCCCAGGAATGGGCTATGGGGATCGGACCAGCACGTTCTGCGGGACCCCAGAGTTCCTGGCACCAGAGGTGCTGACAGACACGTCCTACACAAGGGCAGTGGACTGGTGGGGGCTGGGCGTGCTGCTCTATGAGATGCTGGTTGGCGAGGTGAGACACTGGGCCTCCCCACCCTGCCCATCCCTTGGATGGCATTGGGACCTGTATTTACCCTGCAGTGGGGTCAGATGTGCCTCATGGGCAGATGACTTCATCTCCCTGGCCTCAGTTTCCACATCTGTAAAGTGGTGTACTTACCTTTCCAGGTGAGCCAGCACCCATGGGAGTGGGCTGCTGGAGTAGAGGGCTCTGGAAGGGCTGGGTGTGGAGTGGCCAGAGGAAGGGCTTAACTCACCCCTGCTCTCCCTGTCCACAGTCCCCATTCCCAGGGGACGATGAAGAGGAGGTATTTGACAGCATTGTCAACGACGAGGTTCGTTACCCTCGTTTCCTGTCAGCTGAAGCCATTGGCATCATGCGCAGGGTGAGGACCCCATAAGGTATGGTGGGCCCAGGGAGGGCCCCTGGGCTGGATGGAGCAGACTAACATGATGGGACCTCCCCCAGCTGCTGCGCAGGAATCCAGAACGCAGGTTGGGTTCCAGCGAGAGGGATGCAGAGGATGTGAAAAAACAGCCTTTCTTCAGGGTAAGCACCACCCCCCTGCCTGACATGCCCCCAAGGACCCCATATTCCCCACCAACATTGTCACCTCCCCATGGTACCCATCCCCATTCCTTCCCCTCCCTTCTACCACTTCAAGGTAGGGAGCACTGCCCCAGGTATGAGTCCAGGTCTCCTCATACAACCAGTCCTTCCTGATCCCACAACCTGCTCCCAGATTCCCCCCCCCCCACCCCCCATGTTGTGACTCATTAAACTCAGGAGATCAGGGGGCAGTGGGATAAGGTTCTGGTCAGTCTGTTGAGCACACTCTGCCTTCACAGACCCTGGGCTGGGATGCCTTGCTGGCCCGGCGCCTGCCGCCGCCCTTCGTGCCCACACTGTCAGGCCGCACAGATGTCAGCAACTTCGATGAGGAGTTCACAGGGGAGGCCCCCACGCTGACCCCTCCGCGAGATGCGCGGCCCCTCACCGCCACCGAGCAAGCGGCCTTCCAGGACTTCGACTTCGTGGCAGGGGGTTGCTAGTCTCTCCCCTTCACCTGCCCCTACCCAGCTCTTAGTAGTTTTTAAAAAGGCCTTTGGGATTTACCCCATTCCTGCATCCTCTGGCTCTCTTTCTGTGCAATAATGGGGAGGGTGCTGTGCTTGGAATTGGAGTCAGTGGGTGGTCTAGGGTATAGGGAATGGCCGGGAGATCCCCTGGGTTGTGGTTGGGGTTATTTGAAGAGGATAAGGAGTGGATGGAGATTCCCGGCTGTTATTAAGTGGAGCGTGGGCAGGCCGTGATGGGCGGTGTTGAGGGACGTCTGGACTTCAAGGCCTGTGATGGGGTGTGGTTTGGGGAAGCTCAGGACCATAATGAGCGCATGGTTGCAGACTGTCCTGGCGGCATCGACAACTCTGCTTCCATCTGAGCCCCCCACCCTCGCCAACCTGGTGCTTGCAGCCTCTAGTGTGCCCTGCACACACACACCTCCTCGTGGCAAGTCCCGAAACTGCACTCTCCGGTGAGGCTAACTCCGCGCCTCTGCCGCCTCCGCGTGGCCTCTTGAGTGCTGCAGTTCCGCCGGGACGTAACTCCGCTGGGCTCCTTGGCAAAATGGTTTTAGTCCGTTCCCCCGCCCCCGAAGGTTCCGCGCTGCGCCGGAACGCTGAGCCATCGAACCTCCAGGCGCGCCTAAAAGCCGCTACGGCCACTGCCGCGAGCTGCGCAGTGAACTGGCATCCCAGGTGCTCCTGCTTAGGCGCAGTCCTGCGGGGCTGCCTGCAGCGGCCCTCGGGTGCAGGAGGCGAAGCAGTTGGCGCAGCACGGCCTGGCGCAGCAGGATGTACACCCAGGGATCCAGGATCTGGTTCCAAGAGGCTAGGCGCACAGCCAGAAACAGTGGCCGCTGCAGGGAGCTGGACCCCCAGCCCCCGATGGCGAGAATCACCAACACCTGCGGGAGAAGCCAATGTCAGTGGTGTGGCAGGTGTCAACGAAGGGGATTGGCCGATTGGTGGGGCAGGGATGGAGGGGAGCCGGGCTGGCAGGGAAGGGGAGCAGGGAAGCAGACAGGGTGAGAATGCCAAAGAAGGGGTGGGGGGAGGCCAGAGGGCATGCAGGGCAGAGGCCTGTGCTGCGTGAGGGCTCGGGAAAGAGAGAACGCTCAGGTATCCCGAAGCAGAGGAGGCTGAAGGGGAGCAAACAAAGGGGGCAGGGGGCAGGAAGGAAGCTTTGGGGCCCAGAGGTGTGGGGCGGGGGTAGGAGACTTTGAACACAACTGCCCCAGGAGGTGGTAAGATATGGGAGCAGGGAGGAGGCGGGGTTATGTCGAGAGAGGGCAAAGGGCAGTTCTCCTAACAGGTGGGAATTGAGGGGACTGGACTGTGGCTGGAAAGGGAGAGAGGATCCAGTATCCTATGATGGAAAAGGGGTGGAGTGCCAGGGAAGGAGGGGAAGGAGCTTGGCAGGAGGGGCCTGTATGCCCCTCACCAGCAGCGGACTCCAGCAGATGCACGACACCACCATGATGCCCACGAGCTGGCCCACCATCTCCACGTCGTGAGTGCGGGCTCTGCGCGATGAACCACGACTCGGTGAGCCGCCTGCGGCAGCAGAGGCCAAAACCACGGACGAGGCTGAGGAAGATGAGGCCGAGCGGGGTCCACGGGCTCCCCAGGGACGGCGGCTGTCGGTGCGGGAAGGCAGGGGGTGCCTTATAGAGCGGCGGCGCCAGCGGGCTCGCAGCAGCGCCAGGCCGCTAAGGGTGTTGCACACGAGTGCGGAGAGCAGGGCGGTCAGACCGAGGCCGGCAAAGAGGCTGGCGAGCAGCGCCTGGCGCCAGCCGCCCGCGGGACCCAGGCCGATGAAGCACCACGTGCCGGGGTACTGCAGCTCATAGTGGCCGACGCTGGCCAGAGGGAGCAGCGCCACCGCCAAGGCCAGCGCGGCCAGCGCAGCCAGAGCCAGGCGCGCGCGGGCCGCCGAGACTCGCGCTGCGTGCAGCAGCGGCCGCGTGACGCCCACGCAGCGCTCCACCGCCATGCCGCAGCCCAGCAGCAGCGGGCACAGGCCGAAGAAGACCATGCAGCCGCCCAGGAAGTGGCAGGCACCGCCGGTGGGGGACCGCCCCGCCGTGTACAAGCGCAGCACCAGCGCGCCGGGGATCACATGGCCCGCCAGGTCGGTAGCCAGGAGGCTGGCGACGAACAACAGGAAGGTGGCGGCAGAGCGACGGCGTCGCAGGCGACCTGCGGCCTGAAACAGCAGCGCCAGAGCCAGCACGTTGGACACAGCACCCAGCGTCATGGAGAAGATGGGCAGCGCTGGCGACCTGCTCACAAGGCCTGATGGCGGCCCGGCCGAGGCGTTGGGAGCCCCAAGTGCTGCACATGTGGTGGCCTCGCTCAGCAGGCTCAAGTTGAAGGCCCCGCAAGGGCTCATGTCGGGTGCCAGGGGTGGGGCTGGGGAGAGGATAGGAGGGCAAGGTGAAGTTGGCACCACCAATCTGCAGCCCCCATATCAGATCATGAGGCCCCATCAGACCCCAGGGCTTTCTTCTATGGTCCCACTGATCAAAGCACTCCAGTTATCCTGGCGGTCCCATTCCTGACTCCCTCATTCTCTCTTGCCTCTCCCCAAGTCTTTTGCTCTCCACTGTACTCCCCCTGTCTCTCGCCATCATAGCTCCCCTGGCTCCAGTCCCCCCCTCTGGGCCTCAGACCCACCACTGACACCCACTTCCCATTTTTATACCACAGCATATGCCTGGTCCTCTCTAGCCCCTATGACTGATCTCTGATCATCACCGTGTCACCTTTACTCCATCACATCCTGCCTCCCACAGTCCCAGGTCTCTGTCCTCACAGGCACATCTCTTTCCAAAATGTTCTCTCCTTCCCCATAGCCACATCTCTGTCCACAGTGGCATACCTGTCTTCACATTCCCAATTCTGTTCCCTATCCCTGTTCCCCACGACCTCTACAGCTCATTGCTGTCTTTCACCCAGGCCCTACCCCCCAACCACTACTGTGCCTCACCATGAACACCCTCACAGCGCCACTCCTTCTGCCTCCACAGCTCTGGCTCAGAAACCTCAAGGTTGACTCAGGACCACCCATTTTTTTGATACCCTGGTGGTGCTGGCTGAGAGGGCAGAGCCACCCACTGGGTCAGACTGGGAGGATGAACAGTGAGACAGAAATGGTTGAGAGTCAAGGAACACGGGACGGTCTGAGGTAGCCATGGCTCTATCCTTCCATGCCCTCCTTCCTCCCCCACCAGACACCCTCACCCCCAGCCTTCTTACCCAGCTTTGCCTGGGACACTGGGTCCCCATCGTCTGCTGCTTGGCTCCTGCTACCAGCTGCGCCGGCCCGCTGCTACACCCTAGCTCTCCAAAAGCCACTCCTTCCTCTCATCCTCCCTCCCTCCAGGGGCGGCTCCAGCTCCAGCCTCTGAACTCATCCGTTCAGCTGTAAGCTCTGGCCACCAGGGGCTGCTCCACTCAGTGCTCAACCACTGAGGGGGCTGGGGAGCAGAGACACCCCACCTCCACCCCGTGCGCCTGGCAAGAGGCAGGGGCCATTCAGTCCCCAGCTCCTCCCACAAAGAGGGAGGCTCCAAGATCCCCTTCCCCCATGATCCCCTTCCCCCAGTTGGGCAAGAGCAGCCCCTCCCCACCTCCCCTCAGGCTTGGACCTATCGCCTGCCTCATTAATAAAGCGGATAAAATCTAAACACTGGAAAATATGAGTGTCACCCAGGGCTGGCTGGGGTGGCTGCATGGTTGATGCTGCTCCCACGGAGGCTGTGAAGTTGAGGGGTTGCCCTACTGAGGGGCAAAAATACCCCCACATGCCCTGTCAGAGCCTTTGTGGATCTGGTGGATAATGATGGGCAGTAGTTTGGATGGACCAGCTTGGGTCAGGCCCAGCATGGCTCGGAGACTTGCCCACTATTTACACAGGGGCTTAAAGCCCAGGCCAGAGGCAGAGAGTCATATCTGAGGAGGGGCGGGGCAAGGAGGCCTGGCAATCAGGGAACTCTCCTAGATTCTGTGTGAGATGTAATGAGCAGTATCTGAGAGTCATCCCTTAAACCTGGGCGAACAACTGCAGTGTCACCTCTGGCCTTTAGAAGTAGAGTGACACCCCTGAGGGGCACGCACACACAGGCTCACACTAAAGATACCAACTCTTATCTTGTTAAGATACCCTTAACACTCTGAGACTAGCCATTATCACAGCCAGTGTCCAGGGCAGTGGAAACCACACTCCTTAGAGGGCTTGGAATCAGACATCATCACATCACTCAACTCACAAAACAGTCTCACCCCAGCACCCCAGATGTACCAGTTATCATCTCTAACACCGGCCATTTCTCTCAACACCCAGAAATGCACCCCACCACCACCTACTAGTGCTGGGAAATAGTTTCACTCCATATTACCTGGAGTCACCCCTGACATTCTAGGACAGGCTCCTCGGGTACACACCAAACCCCCAAGATACAGAGTGGCACCCCTGGACATACCAAGATCTAGCAGTCACCCCCATGCCAGAAATGGGAGCACCCAGAGACACAAATGATTACAACCCTGGACATACCAAATGTGATCACACGGCCACACTCCACACTTATCAGCACCCCCGAAACACAGTCGTTAAGCCCCTATTCCTTAATCACAAACCAACACTCAGATCACTGCTCTACTCTCAACAGTGAGACACACAGCTGAGTTACAAGCATAGACACACGAAGCACCCACGGATGCCAGGGATGCCAGGGTAACTTTGACAGAGGCTGCTCTGGCCCCTCACCTTGGGGCCCATCTTCTGCCTGGTGTAAACCAGGAGCCGGCTTGACTGACTTCCCTGCATCCAAACATTCCTGCAGGGACCTCTGGACTGGCTCCCCTCGCTTCAATCCCAACCCCTCCCTCCAGGTCTGGCCAGGGTCCCACACTCTCTTCCTTGATCCCCCTCAATCCTTGAGGATGAAGCGAGCTGTCAAAACAAGCATGCTGGGTTTATGTCCAAGGCAAAGCCTGGTGTGCTATGGACACCAGCAGACCCCTCAGGTCCACAATCAGCTGGGGTAGGGGTCTCACCAAGACTGCCCCCTCCCACAGTCTTGTGGGGTGGGGGTCCTCCCCAGAGCACTTGCCTAGGCAGGCGTAAGGTTCTAACTGGGGCCTTTCCACCTTCTTTCCAAGCCAGGTCCTCACACTCCTGGCTCTGTGCTGGATTGTGGTGGGACATAGCCAACAGCCTGCTGCCCACCTTTCACATCAGGCTTGGGCGGGGGAGGCCTTGTTTAGGAGGAAGCAAGATTTGAACCCTTAGTAGGCCAAGAAGCCCCAGCCTTGCCTGGAAGTCTGATGGCAAGCAGCCAGGATCCTCATCAGGCAGAACGGGTGGGAGGGGATGGGCGGGGATGGGCGGCGCTCAGCCAGCTCCTAATTCAATTGGGAGCCCAGAGGAGGATGGATTTCAGCTGCTGCATTCTTTCCCAGCCCCGGCCCAACCTCCACCCCCCCCCCCCATCCCGAAGTCCACACAGGTCAAACAGCAGATAGATTCTTTATGTTCAAGACAGCAAATTCAGATACAAAAGCCCACTGCCTTCGACCCTCCTGGTCCCACCCTGTCCATTCAGGGCTGGGCTGAGGGGGCCACATGGGATTGGGAGGGTTCACAGCAGACTAGTGTTTAAAATGCAGAGGTAACAGACTCCACAGTGTGGGGATTTCTCTAGGGGTGGGAGCGGGAGGATATTATTGCATTGGCCAAGGGGGGAATGCTCCCCTTCTACATTCCCTGCATCAGGAAATGAGGGAGGTCACTCCCCCCCACCCCCAACAGAACCCAAGGCCCCAGGGAGAGGGACCAGTTTGGCAGCTGATGTGGAAAGTGTTGAGGGTGGGGCTGGCGGCTCATTCTGGCCAGCCCCTCTCCCCTCCTGATCCTGCTGAGGTAGGTGGGGAACAGGACAGTGGGGGTGGGGCGGGAGAGGGCCACAGGGGGGTGGGGTGAGGTGGGGGGGATGGGGACCCCCAGGTGGGCTGGGAACAGGGAAGGGGTGGTACCGATTGGAGAGGGGCAGGGGGCCCAGCCCCACCTCTGCTCCACTCTGCATCATCCTCCAGGTGCTGAGCAAGGCCCAAGCCAGATACTAGGGTCCTGGCCATGGTGTCCCCTCCTCCCAACTGGGGATTCCCATTAGGCTGGGCCCAGGTCATCCCAAGGTCCAGTGGGCAGCCTAGTAGCGGCCAACTTTGGCGTCCCCAATGGCACCCCAGACGTCAAAGACGAATTCATCAGGGAAGGCGAAGTCACCAAGCCGCTCGTCCAGGGCCTCAGCCAGCTCGTCTGGGTTCCTTTTGTCCTTTCCCAGCTCCACCATGGTGGCCGCTGTGGGTGGGGAGCAGAATGGAGATACCAAAGACAGAGGCAACAGCTCCTAGAAGCCCATCTCCTAGACTCCCCACTGCCCCCAGATCCAGGATCCCCTTACTCACCTAACTCTGTGTCCCTGATGCCCATGTAACTCTCCAATAGGTCATCTACCTTCTCGATTGCCTTCTCCTCAAAGGCTGAGGGCTGGAGTGGGGGAGGGTAACAGCAATATCATAATTACATGATTATAATTGTAACTGTACTTACTAAACACTGAGTGCTTTTTCTGTATATATCCTAGTTATTGCTCACAATGCTGAACATGTCAGTATGATTATCCCCATTTCATAGATGAGGAAACTAAGGCTGACAGGCCCAAGAAAGGTTTCAGAGCTGGGAGGCAACACAGGTGGATCTGAATCCAGGCAACCCGCTCAGACCCCTTCCGCTGGAAGGTGATGCTGCCTCTTATGGCTGTGCAGGGAAGGGGGTTGAGGTCTGGCTGGAACACTCACCAGATCCTCTACTGTGGCTGGGCCCCGGGATCGAAGCCGAAGGGTCCCTCGGCCAGTGCCCAGCTGGGGGCCAGAGCCAGGGCGGCCACCCCCTGAACGCATGCTGATCATGTCTGCAGGAGGCAGAAAGGAATAAGGAAGCCCAGTCCGGCAGGCTCTTGGCAGAAACCCAGGCCTGCTGGCCTTGACAGTCCCTTCTACTTTCTCCATTCTTCTGTGGGCTTGGGGGGTGTTGGAGGTGACCCTAAGAAGGTAGGACTCCTCACTGAGGTTCGGCATAGTTGCCAAGCAGTCAGGGACTGGCGATGGAAAAGGTCTGAAGGACAACCTGAAAAAGCCACTTCGACCCCCAAGGACTGGGGGACAAAGGAGGGTGTAGGGCCTAGGTCTCTAGCTGGGTACAACTGCTGGGCTGCCTACTAGCCCTATCTGCTTGGGGAAGTGTTTGAAAGTCCCCCACCCCCACCATAGGGGCCGTAGTTCCATTCCTGAGAGTTAGTGAAGCCAAACGGAAAAGTGGGGGGGGGGGGGGGAAGCCTGGCACAGGGCAGCCAAGCCTGGCTTCTCAGGGCTGAGGGGCTGGCTGGCCAGGATTGGGGGTGCTTGGTTGACCTAATGGCTCCTGGAAACAGGGTGTGGGGGCAACTTCCTCCTTGGTCCCACCCTCCCCCCAGGCTGGGCAAAGAGCCAGCACCCCTTCTCCAGGGCAGGGCAGAATTGCTCCCCCTTCCACTTCAGCTGGATGGGTTTGGGCACCACCTGCTGGTAACTCTCTACATTGCAGCTTGAGCCCAAATGAGCAGGGAGATCAAGGGAGGTCTTGCTCAGCTCCTCACCAAAGGCCTTGCGGGGCTCTGTTAGCTTCAGAGAGAAAGTACGGCCTCGGGGCAGCTCCTTAAGTAGCCGGGCCACTTCATAGTGCCGACATCCCAGCAGGCTCTGCCCATTGATGGCCTCAATCATGTCACCCACGCTGATGAGCTGGATGTGGTCAATCACGCTGCCCTCCTTAATGCGCTGGAGGGGAGAGGAACTGTCAGCTCCCAGGGCTCTGCCCTTTGGCATTATGGCTGGCCTTACCCTCAGGACTCTCTGTGCCCTGTGCACCCCCAGGCACCTTGATGAAGGCATAGCCGGCCCCATTGTCCGTGATGGTGAGCCCCAGAGCCTCCTCTGACTTGTACACCTCCACCTCCTTGTGCTGCCCCTTGATGTGAGCGAAGATGAAGTCCTCCAGCCCAATCTGGCCACCAAGGAGCTTGTCCATGTCCACTTTGTGGGTGTTGAGAGTGCAGAACATCACCTGCAGGGGTAGGGGAGACTCAAACCTTACCTCCCTCCCTTACCCTACTGAGGCACAGGCCTTCCAATGCCTGACGGGAATTCAGCATCTAAATCTGGTCTCCAGTCCCTATAATTCACAGGGACATGAACTTCCCACCAGAACCCAAGGTGTGATGGGAACTCAGCATCTGTGTCCTGACCTCCAATTC